AGCCATCAGCGCACATGAGAGAAACATACCTCTGCATCTGTTTTTATGAGGCCAATAAAAAGCCTCCTCTGTCTCTGGCTCAATTGCCACCTTGGCTGATTTATGTGCGTAAATTCACACCGCATTGCTCCATAGGAGAGGCTGGCAGATGGCCAGGTGTGTGCGGCACGCGCAGGGTGTGTGTGTGTGTCTGTGCTTGTTTGCGAGAACCGCCTCAGCTCTATATGATGAATATCGGCGAGCCGAAGTCACATGGGTGAAGTACAAAAGGCCTGGAGCGACTGGCTGACGTGTCAACAGGATTCTGAGTAATGTTTAAATAAAAGTCACAAACCAGAGGCTTTGAACTTTGTGTCTTTACCGTTAACCCTGCAGATCTACTTCCTGCAGCTACACAAAGTGCTTCCACGCACACAGAACAGGCTTTGTTAGATTATACCTGCACCTGATGGGATTAGCAACACTCCGAGCAGCCAGAAATCCAGAAATCCCAATCTTTGCTCAGAGATTTGAGCCAAATCGTCTTCACTAGAATTCTCGTGCAATTAAAAGACTGAACGCGTATCGATAGTTTTAATTCAAGATGGCTGCCACGGAGTCAACGCAAATTCGGGGGCTGCGTTCTTCAAAGAATGTGCTGAAAGCTGTCCAAATTTGAAGACTCATCCCACAACTATGTCTTCCTTTCCCTTCGATTTGAGCGACGATTATACTTCTCAGCCCACCCAAGATGCACTGCGGGCCGACAGAGGTTTGTTTTGCTTGTGAGGGCCGACGAAGCGAGAGACAGGAGTACGGTTTCTAATAAAAATCTATGCAAAAATTAAAAATCTAAAGCAGTTTTGTTCCGTTTCTCATCAGAAATCATAGCAAACAAGCTCATATGGCAGGTCCCTCAGTTCTTCATGTATCGCCTCAAAGACTATTTTGTTCATTTATAATATTAATTATACTGATGATGATGATGATGTTTGGCATCGTTCTAGAAGGCGACCTATGATGGTCAGAGTTTTCTATTCACAGCTCCTACATTGGTTTTACGGCACCCAATCGGTCCCCCATCCAAGGGCTAACCAGACCCTTCCCGTCGAGCTCAGATAAGCTCTGGCGTGTTCAGTGTGTTATATTTGATATTTTAGACTCTTTTAGATCAGCTGTGGCAGCCATATTGAAATGGGTTGATGAGATACTTTGCTAAAAGTCAGGGAGTTGATTATAACTTGTATTGATGTTTGAGGCTCTCAGACTGTGTGTTTAGAAGGACTTTCAGCTACTACCACTCCAAATCCGAGCTGAATTTCTATAAACAGCCTGTTTTTGTGTTGACAGATAGTTTGTAAGTTCGTGGAGACAAACTGAGCAGCTTAAGTGCTCACGCTGCAGAGGATGACACGGAGCACTTTGGAGGCTCGGTTTAGAGACGGGTGGACCTGCGCCTGAATAAAAGCCAAAAATTCATGGAGGACGAGACAGAGGAAGCCTTTGTGTGGCCCTCTCACCTCCCAGACGCAGCTGACCGCACTTCAAATGGGCTTAAGTGGTTAGAAAGTTGCCACATACTGCTCACAGAAAGGACACGGACCTGCAGAGAGGGTCCAGAGTTGTCGGGAGGCGCGGGGAGGTTTGGGAAGAGAAGGAACGATGTTTGATCTTTCACGGAGCTCGTCGTCACCGAGTGAGCTTTGGGGAGGGCTGTTAGCGCTGCCTAATGCACGGGAAAAGGTCAAAATTAGCACAAAAAAATACAATTATCTGTCGTCTGCGCTGCGTTCTCACCTGAGTGGTGAGGGCGGGGACGCCGCCGGGCTCGTTTACACGCAGGATGAATGTGAAGTGTGTGTTCTGATTTGAACCTGAAGCAACGTTTGGTGTCTGCACCACTGAAACACGCAGCTTTTCTGAAGAAAACAGTAAAACTGAAACCGTCTCTAAAACAACCAGGAGACGTCAGCAGACGTATCTACAGGATTATATTATTTTTTGCAGTAAAAATCTCAGACTTGAAGTTTTTATTGTTCATCCAAGCGCCAGAACTCGACGTGCGGAGGCTCAGAACTGCAGCTGCCCCGAGGACCAACATCTGGGCTTCGTTTTACTCACTCAGGTCTTTTAGGGACAGACTCCCCCCAGAATAACCGATGGCATTGCTCAGAAAAAACTGAACGCTGAAGAAATGTTTAAATTGTTCTTTTAAAACAACTAAAATACTAAATAAATCAGTAGTGATGCTGCATGAATAAAAACTGAGATATGAAGATGAAACTGAGATGTAAAAGCTAAAAGCAATGAAAGGCTAGCTAGCAACAATAGTGAGAGGCTAGCTTAAAGCAAATTTAACAAAAGGATATAAAAAGTGGCAAAAAGCTAGTTAAAAGCTGAAGTATCTACAGAGAATCTGAAGCTAAAAGTGGCAAAAAGCAAGCTAGTTATTAAAAAGATATCTAGAAGCAATAAAAAGGGGCAAAAAGCTAATAAAAGGCTAAAGAAGCTGAAGCCAAATTAGAAGATAAAAGAAGAAAATAAATTAAAATGATACTTAAAAGCAAAAAATTAGTGAGAGGCCAGTTAAAGGCTAATGTAACTAAAGGTTAAATAAAAGTGTAAAAAACTAGTTAAAGGCTTAAGTAGCTGGAGGCAAGCTAGAAGCTAAAAGTGGCAAAAAGCAAGCTAGTTATTAAAAAGATATCTAGAAGCAATAAAAAGGGGCAAAAAGCTAATAAAAGGCTAAAGAAGCTGAAGCCAAATTAGAAGATAAAAGAAGAAAATAAATTAAAATGATACTTAAAAGCAAAAAATTAGTGAGAGGCCAGTTAAAGGCTAATGTAACTAAAGGTTAAATAAAAGTGTAAAAAACTAGTTAAAGGCTTAAGTAGCTGGAGGCAAGCTAGAAGCTAAAAGTGGCAAAAAGCAAGCTAGGTATTAAAAAAAGATCTAGTAGAGTAGTGAGAGGCTAGCTCAAAGCTAATGTAACAAAAGGCTAGACTGAAACAGCAAAAGGCTAGTTAAAAGTTAAAGTAACTGGGGGCAAGCTAGAAGCAAAAAGTAGCAAAAAGCTAGATAATAGCTAAAAATTATTAAATGACATCTAGAAGCAAAAATAATGAGAGGCTAGCTCAAAGCTAATGTAACAAAAGGCTAGATAAAAGTGATAAAAACTAGTTAAAAGTTCAAGTAACTGGAGGCAAGCTAAAAGTAGCAAAAAGCTAGCTAAAAGCTAAAAGTATTAAAATGATATCTAGAAGCAAAAAATAGCAAGAGGCAAGCTTAAAGCTAAAGTAACTAAAGGCTAGATAAAGGTGATAAAAATCCAGTTTAAAAAGTTTGAAAGGAATTTGGAAGCAAGCTAGAAGCTAAAAGTAGCCAAAATCTGGCTAAAAGCTGAAAATAGAGAATGTTAGCCAAAAGCCAAGATTAGCACAAAACTCTAAAAGCTACAAGCAGCAAAAAGCTAGCTAAAAGCTACACGTATTAAAATGATATCTAGAAGCAAAAAACAGGAAGAGTCTATCTTAAAGCTAATGTACCTAAAGGCTAGATAAAGTGATAAAAAGCTAGTTTGTTTGAAAGGAAGTTGGAAGCAAGCTAAAAGCTAAAAGTAGCCAAAAACTTTCTAAAAGCTGAAAATAGAGAATGTTAGCCAAAAGCCCAGATTAGCACTAGGAATGAGCGATATAAACAATATACGGTAGAAACTATATAAATTTGTCCTATGATAGAGATCTGTTGTCTACCGGCCAACCGCGCAATTCTTTTTGATGATGTAACCGGCTGGAGTCAAAACAGAAGAAGCGGGAAGCAGCGTGACAGAGCGCAAATGAGGAGGGGAAAAAAACTTATCCGGACCTGGTTCGGGTGTGTGAAAATGAACGCCGAACTGTTTACGTGTTTTCGTGACAGCGCTTCCTCCGGTCGGATGCCGACCGAGCACACTGCCTGCAGCTGGAGGAGCGCGCGCTGCGGCATGTGTGAAGGGCTCGACACACGGGAGGCGACGTCGCTCGCTCTCCATTCATTTCCACACAGCGAGGCGACTGTCAGTGCAGGTGAAGTCAGTGCTCAGGTGGGACGCACAAACATCAGTCTGGACCTCGTTTGTCCTGCGGTCATAGCGCGACGACCCACGGTCGAAATGCGCACTCCAAAGCGCGACTATAAAGATTGTCACCCCGCCGGAGCGCGCACAGATTAAACAGGTGGAGTGCAGAAGAAATAATCTGCAAAGTGTGTAGAAAGGAATAAATACAAGCAATTTGTTTTACCACCTTAAAACGAAGCAGGTGATTCCAAACACAACATCCAATGGATGCAGATATCGATTACATTAAAGTAATTTTATGTGTGTGTGTGTAATATACAGT